GTTTAATACTTTATTGTACAACGTATAAGTGACAATCACTATCTTGAGTGACTGATGTAAAAATTCTAGCAAAAGAGCTCTCTCATTTGATACCTGGTCTATATACTCTGATATAATATATAAAAACTTAGGTAATCTTAGAAACATTTGAGAAAATTTGGCCCAGTTTGATTTTGTACTTGAATTTTTGCACAGAATTCGTCAATCACTTTACAGCGTTACGTAATAAATGAAAAATTCAGGACGACTCGCCTACTCCTATAAACACCAATCATCATACCCGGATTCTCCAGCAAAACTATATTGCAACCAAAAACCTGTTTTGAGACTTTGCCAGTAAGATCTTATCAAAGGTTTATTAAACTGTAATGGTTTCCGATTTGAGAAGGATTGTGTATCTACTACAAGTCTTTAACGGGATGAAAGTAATTTTTATTGGAGATGAAACGCGACGAGTGGGCGCAAACACAGTAATTGTAGGGAGGGGCGCCAGATTTACTTGATTTAAATTAGAAAATATAACAAATGTCGTAATGTATTAGTTGCAAAGTGGTGTTAATGATTTACATATGTGTATACAGCTCACAGGTGCGATGTGGTTTACAACAGTACTTCGAATCGGAGATCTATAGGCCATCTTGGCGTGCGCGGAAAGCAACGGCTTTGTTTTATGTTTGTCACATAAGGTCAAAGATGGCCGATTTTTTGAAGCCCATTTTTTGACGTTTCCTGTTCTTTAGCCTGTACAATGAAGCGTTATTGTGACGTAACGTTATCACAACACCCGTTTCAGCAAAATTCAATTTAGTGACATTAACTTGTGATGTAACTTTACCATGACAATACATTTAATTTTGTCGGTATCGTGACGCAACTTGATTTTAACTTTAATGCCGTTATAATACTAACTTTGTCAGTAAAACTTATATTGATGTTAGTGTAAATAAAAATCAAGAAGAAATTGAGAACGGCAACATAATCATAATCCAAACTCCAATTCCATAACTTACTTTTACCAGAACCCATTTGTAATTAGTGAAATCGTTGGTAACATTTCAGTGAGATAGCGCTATAAAAAACCTTTTACACAACACATTCATGATATACTAGCACCATATATTATGACGTACTCATAAACATAAACGACAATAAAGGCACCAAATTGAATTGCTAATCTTCGACCGCTTCAATGCCAATATTTGTACTCTGTACTTTATCATCAAAAACGTATCGAATGCATTTGAGTCAGCATTCACGTAACTGATTAAACACGATAATATCATACTAATTATCTACAGATAAACGAAAAGAAATAAAAAAAGCAAAATGAGGGAATATGAAACCCTTACAAAAGCAAATTGGAAACCACACTGGTTGTTTGGTTAGTGGTATTTCTCAAGTGATTTACAATACCAAATTTGATATCTTTATTTCTAATCTTAAGAATATCAGGTTCTTACAGAAGGGAAAAAATATTGAAATTTTGGAGTATACGCATGTACAGTGTACTGTAGAACCATTATTTCATGATAATGACGGTCTTGATTACGGCCTCTTTTAAACACATTTAATGGCTACCTCGAACTCGGAAATCATGTGATCAATGGCGGTTATTGTCATTTGGTGTTGATGTGGTTTTATGTATCTCAATTAAGTTTTAAAAGCTTTGTATAATTGCCTTTAAACTGCCTTCAAACGTGCTTCAGATTGAAGAAAGTTTAGATACACTAAATTACGTAATTTTTGCAGATGCTTACATGCTGACATGTAACTATGCACTTGCATCAATTATATACAAATATCAAAGTCGACTGCTATTTGGGGGAACAGCTGCCCACTAAAATGTTTTCTGGTGTTTTGAAAGATTCAAACTGCCGTTATCATTTAAACAGTCCTTGGTTGAAACAAGTTATACTTCAGATTGTTAGAATTGGTTTTATCATTTAAACTTTAACGAAGCAACGTGCAATTAGTTCTAACAAGAAACAGATGTGCACGTGCATTTCCTACTTAGTTTTCAGTGTAAACTAAACAAGTCTGATAATAGGGTGATATTTTTTTACGACATAAGTGCTCGGGAATGACTGATTGTGGATTTGATTAAGTTTGAAATATTTAGTCTGGTCAATTACAGCACAGGAATCGTGATTAAACAGCTCTTACGTTGATGATTTTACAGGATAAACTTTAAACAGAACTGATATCCCGACATTTGAAGGAAATAAATTGCATTTATGACGTCACATTTCGTACGACGTCATAGATGTGAATTTCATTTGAGGCTTGTACACGCAAATGAATCATATCTGGCCAGCGACAAAAAAGTCGGGAGCGATTATTACAGTAACGAATAAATGAAAGATTTGAAATGAGAGGCGTTACTAATGAAATTAAACATGTAGTAAATTATAAGATCAGTTAATTCATACATTGATGATCAGTCTACATGTATATAATTACCAAAACGTGATCGTGTACGGAAATTTAATCTTTATCATGCCCCTGTGATGACCAATGGTACTTAATATCATCATGTGATGGAGAATGGTGCCCTCACCGACATCATGTCCCTGTGATGGAGATTGGTGCCCTTACCGACATCATGTCCCTGTGATGGAGATTGGTGCCCTCACCGACATCATGCCCCTGTGATGAAGAATGGTAACTTTGCCGACATCATGTCCCTGTGATGGAGAATGGTGCCCTCAATGACATCAAACATCTGTGATGGAGAAAGGTGCCTTCACCGACATCATTCCCTTGTGATGAAGAATGGTAAATTTATCGACATCATGTCTCTGTGATGGATAATGGTGCCCTCACCGACATTATGCCCCTGTGATGGAGAATGGTAACTTTGTCGACATCATGCCCCTGTGATGGAGAATGGTAACTTTGCCGACATCATGCCCTTGTGAATGAGAATGGTAACTTTGCCGACATCATGCCCTTGTGATGGAGGAAGGTAACTTTGCCGACATCATGTCCCTGTGATGGAGAATGGTAACTTTGTCGACATCATGCCCCTGTGATGGAGAATGGTAACTTTGTCGACATCATGCCCCTGTGATGGAGAATGGTGCTCTCACCGACATCATGCCCCTGTGATAGAGAGTGGTAACTTTGCCGACATCATGCCCCTGTGAATGAGAATGGTAATTTTGCCGACATCATGCCCCTGTGATGGAGGAAGGTAACTTTGCCGACAACATGACCCTGTGAATGAGAGTGGTAACTTTGCCGACATCATGCCCCTGTGAATGAGAATGGTAACTTTGCCGACATCATGTCCTTGTGATGAAGAATGGTAACTTTGCCGACATCATGCCCCTGTGATGGAGAATGGTAACTTTGCCGACATCGTGTTCCTGTGATGGAGGAAGGTAACTTTGCCGACATCATGCCCCTGTGAATGAGAATGGTAACTTTGCCAACATCATGCCCCTGTGATGGAGAATGGTAACTTTGCCGACATAATGTCCCTGTGATGGAGGAAGGTAACTTTGCCGACATCATGCCCCTGTGAATGAGAATGGTAACTTTGCCGACAACATGACCCTGTGAATGAGAATGGTAACTTTGCCGACAGCATGCCCCTGTGATGGAGAAAGGTAACTTTGCCGACACAATGCCCCTGTGATGGAGAATGATAACTTTGCCAACATCATGCCCCTGTGATTGAGAATGGTATCATTACCAGCACCTACATGTCCCTCTGTTAACCAGTAGTAAAGGATCCTTATCAGAAGTGGCCTGGCAATGTGTATGCTTCATTATCACTTCATCCAGGAGATGTTTTCACATAACTGTCATTTAGAATGATATCGTTTACCACAGACAGGTCAAGTTCTCCAAGGAAGCCATATAGCTTGAATAGATCGGGTCTGTCGAGTTCTAGTTAGCTCGTAAGATTTGTTCGTAACAATATTAAAATATTTCAGTAACGATTTAGTAACGATATAAATTCTTAATCTTTTTGTCACCTGTGATACATCTTGTGCAGTCATGCATGTTTGTTGTATATTTGATCTCTGTTCTATAGTCAGCTGTATAGCATACCAACGGTTAGTTTTGTCTTGATTGAAACATACACCTCGCAATAAATAATAACAACAAAAATTCTTTTAAAATAAACCGAAGCTTCCATATTTTCTAAATATTCGAATTTGAAAGAGTTTACATGTGTCATATAGTAGTATTTAAGATGGTATAAGTATTAAGGTATATACCTACCTTTAGACATTCCTCAAAACATTTCAGTATGAAAAAACGGGAAATTAACTTACACGGCTATTGCTCAGACTTAACGTCAGACTGACGTAAACACATTCAATGAGAACAGGAATGTGACATTCTGCGGCAGATACAAGCAGTAAATTTTCTCTACTTCACGTGTTCCCGTGTTCTTTATCTATCTCTAATTCCGTGTTTATTATTAGTGTTAAAAAATAGGCTTCCAAAATAATACAGATAATAAAATAGCTATCATAAAATAGCTACTGCTTTAAAATGATAGGTATCATATGATGGCAATGTTTGTATGAATACACTACCTTTTATATACTCGAAGTTCTTGTTAATTTTTAGTGATAAGGTTTCAAAAGTTTTCATTGACACCTTTTCCGGTTGAAACAAGTCCGCCATAAATCCTATGGGTATCGCCTTTACACTGCAAAGTTATTTTGAGATATTTTCGTGGCGGAATAGTATTTAAATACCTTTACATAGGTAATACGGAAATAATTAACCATAAGCGTATGTTTGCGAGATGTCTTTTGACTGGCGCTAATTACATGACTTTGTCTAAACATGGACGAGTTACTGCCCTTACCCTAGAGTTTACCTAATTTGAGATGTCGAAATTACGCTCCCTGAAAATGTCATGCATATTAAGCCTAAAGGTAATGGCCGGTGCCCCTTTTCTGTACATAATTTAGAAGTTATTGAAAACAGTTTTGTTTTGGTAGTTAAGTTTACAAATGTGTTGTATCCACTTGTAGCTTACTATCACTTGCCAATGGACGCTATAGAAGGGACCTCACTGTCGAACCCATCAGGACTGGACGCCCGTGTGTATGGTGCACCCATTCTGACCCGAGGAGCACTAAATAAGGCCTTGGTACTAGATCGTGGTCAATGGATCCAGGTCAGTGGCCCTGGACATCGATACGAGTGCTTCGGTGATCTTGATCTGTGTTCCAGAGGTAAGTTGGTGATATCATGCTCATTAAACACAAACTGAGTTAGAATTAAATAACATACCGTCAGGACAGAAACTACTTCATACAGTCCTAATGTCATAATGTTTTTTTCCGTGTTTTCTACCTCAGTTGATATTTTTTCTAAAGCAGCACACTGCTTGCTTACAGTCAGAGATCGGGTCTTTCAGAATAGTTTTAATTCATTTTAAGTATCTTGAAATCTCCAATGTTCACATGTAAATATAAACTGGTGATTTTATTTGAAGGATACACCCTGGGTTTATGGGTCTACTTTAAGAATGCTGGAAACACTAAAGGAGTGTACATGACAAACGGTGGTCACGACGCAGAGTCCCATGGAATCGCCATGACATACAAACTGGGTCTTCTAGAATTTACCTTCAAAAAGAAAAATGGACAGACCTGGACCGTGAAGTCGGATAACGTGCTTTCCGATAAATGGTATCACGTGTCCGTCACGTGGAAAGAGAATGAAGGACTCAGTCTCTATCTGAATGGCGACCCTGTCAGTAAAGGTCCGAACCCCCAGAAGCGGTGAGTGAACATAATGTCCGCTGTAACGCTGCCTATCATGTGTGTTTGTTTCAAAGTTTGTGATTTCGTTGATGATAAGTGAGGAAAATTGATGGAGCAAATCGTCATATTTCATTAAATTGGTACATAAGAAAACAAATGTTTACCGTGACTTGGGCTTCAGGTGATGTCAAATTTAGTACGAGAAATGAAATAATTGACAGCGTTTGATCGAACCATTGATATACGAGGTTAACGTCATACAAAACGATGTTTTCAATTTTTCATATGAATACAATACCCGAGCTATATTCATGCACGTACTGCATGTAATAATTTAGACAAATCGATTCAGAAACGATAACGATTGAAAAAGAAGTTTAAAAACTTTCTGAGTGTGTGATGTTTTGATTTTGTTTTATAGAGCTCACTGTAGGTTTTATATGAACTAAACTCCCGAGTAAATATGGCGAATTTGTATAAATATTTAAGCTAGTTAGTTTTTTGTTTCATTTCTTAACTAGAGCACCAGCAATATCGCGAATAAAAAACAACAACTTCATTGTTGGAGATGCGCAAGGCAATCTGGATAACTTCATCATTGATGAGCTCAAGTTCTGGTCTGACTTTAAAACGGAAGAGGAAATCAAGGAGATTGGTGAGCATGCGCACAGTTTTGTTGTCCAAGATTCAGTTTCTGTAAGACTAAAGGCTCATGATTCAACATTTATGTAAACTATTTCAAGAATACAATTGTTTATCTAGCGTTTTTGTATGAAATTACATTGCTAACGTTTATTAGGCTAGGAAAGGAGTCTGCTGCATTCAAATTCATACTCTAGAAGAAGAATTTGTGTGTGTTAGGGGGGGATGAATCAATATGGATATCTCTGCATAAGCAGGTGTTGTCTTCGTGTCTTCTTGCAAAGGGAAATTAAGATACCAAAACTGATATCCTGGTAACTCCTGGGGTCTTCATACTTCCCTTTGTGTCTTTCCCTTTCTGTCTGTGCTATATTTTTCTTTCTCTCTGTTGGTGTCTGCCTTGGAGTCTCTCCTGACACCTATCTTCATATTTCTCTGACTTTTAGGGGGACAACAAGGCAAAAATAAACAAAGCAAGGAAAGAAAAAAAAGTATCTGATGGAAATAAAATATATCAAAGACGAAATGCTGCACATTATTGAATTTTTAATTTCTTTACCAATATTCATGAACATAATTTTACTTTTCAACACACTCATTTGTGATTAGATATCAAGCTGGTCATCTTTCAATTCCAATCTTAGTCAGCAAAAACGCACAAGGCCGATTGTCAAGAGAACGAACGAATCATATAATTGAATGTGAGAACTTTTCTTTATTACAGGTCCGATGTATCGATATTACTTTTCAATGGATGAAAGAATCGGAGATGAGCTGATAGTAAACAACGCTTACACCGACATCAATGGAAATGTGGCCTTGACCCCTGGGAAAATTAGAAACGCATTGACCTTCTATGGTGATGGTGGTTACGTCACAGTCGAGAATTTTGGGACAACATGCTTGGGTGACGTCACTAAATGTTTATATGGATTTACAATATCGTTTTGGATCGAGTTTAGATCTTTAACGGGCGATATTCCTTACTTTTCAAGTGGGCCACGTGGATTGAAAATTTTCTCACGCGGAGGAAACTTGCATGCGGAGGTATCTGACGGTAAAGAAACATGGTCGGATAGTTTTTACGGGTTAAAACACGATAGATGGCACTTCATTGAAGTCACGTGGTCTCCTAAAATTGGATTATACATGTTCCTAGACCTTGACATGGCTTCAAGGCAATCTACTCCAGAACCAAGGGATTCAACAGATTCTACACAGGAAAATTTCCTGATAGGAAGGGTCGGGTCTGGAATGACTGCCATGAGGTACCCGAATGCAGCTATTGATGAAGTCGAGATTCATTATGGCGATAGATTCTCATTGCTTTATCTTGATCTTATTCAAAGAGGTAAGTTTTCAAACAATTTCATTCAAATCTGTTCTCTAATTTCACTCAGATTTCTGAACAGAGTTGTCGTTCCTTATTCTCTCGTAAATACACGCACCAGCAATAAAAAAAATACACAAAACTGAACTGACCTTTCTCAAAGAACAAAAAGTTAAAATATGGATTTCTTAGAATGAAATATCAACTTAACTTAGTTTCAAAATTATGTCCTCTATTGCACAATGTCTGCTGCACCTCCCGTCTTGATTTTGATTTTTTTTATGATCATTTTGGATTTTCTCTAGTAGCCGCCTAGGCTTCAAACGTTAAGCATCACTGACAAGTCCCAGGAGGAAGAAACAGCTGTATGACGCAATTTAATTAACTGTTCGTCTCTCCTGTATCTCGCTATAAATTATGAAAATGTGTGTCTTTTGTACAACCAATACGTGTATGATGATGTAGAGAACGACACCTCCTTTAGAATTTGAAAATAAAATGTATACGTTTTGTAAAAAATGTTACGGTTTGAAGAGGAGATAGAAAATTGATGTAAAAAAAAGCTCGAATGCATGATTAAAAAAGGAGTTTGAGTCCTATTATATTGTGCGGGCTACCAATCGGCACCTATTCGGCACCTATTCTAGGGCGCGATCCCACTACTGTCTGACACGGGGACTTCTGCCTTAAGCCGATTCGTCCTCCTTAGACAACCTGGTCACGATGGGCTCCCCCAATGTGGCCATATTGATACCGGACTCAGCGCGGACGCCCTATCAACAGCGGGCACCGGAGGGTAGGACTCCCGCCCTCAAACCGTCCTCTTACCTCGGCCTCTTTGTAGCTGAATTATAGGAGCACGCCACGACTCCCGGCCGAGATTACTGTGATCAATATGGTCCTGTACATTTACCATCGTACTTTATGATAGAAATTTATGAAATGAACAAAACTGACGTTAAAGGATAAACGTAAGGCCATTTTGTGAATTTATTATCCATAGTAAAACAAAAAAAAAAAAAAAAACTCGGCGTGAATTGCCACGTCTACGATTAACTTTGACCTTTAGACTGTCCTTGCTGTAAAATGCAGACGTTCCCTGGGGACAAACACGTGCGACAGTGCTCATTGGGAGAGATTGGAGTATTTTATATCCATATAATGTGTTTACGGTCATGAGATTTTAACACGTGTCATAAACGCAGTCAGGATTGCACATATTCGTCGTAACTAGACAAATTGATTTCCGTTCTCAAGTAAAAAGTTGTAACAAACCAGCATTGTACCGATTGTTGGCTTTGTGTAGCTTTTCTATTACAAGAAATAGATTGTTTGAGATATAATCAAAGCCAGATATAATCAAAGCCAAATATAATAATTGTTCTTGGAATTTATCTGATAATCAATGTTTATACTGATAATTATTTTCAAAAATATGAGTGTATGTAACGGTTTGTATGACGTGTCGTGTACTAGGTACCTTGTTAAAATAAACGTTAATTGTTTTATTTTTTAGATACGTTTACAGTATTTTCTGTTGTACAAAGAAACGAAAATCTCCGGACCATTAAGAATGTGTTGTAAATAGAAACTAAGGAACCACTGGGGTTCTAATGTTTAAAGGTTCTGTCATACGTAGGGGAAACTCGTCGAAGAAAACACGGGTCCGTTACAGACAGAAACGAAATCATCCAGCGTCCAGATTAAGGAGGCTCTGCTGTATATAGAAACTAAAATTACCGCAGTAATGTATATTTTTACTAGTCAGGTAATTACACACGACAAAAAATTATTATTTCCAGATAGTTTTCTTACTAATTGTCCATTTATTAAAATAGATAAATGATCTGATTTCAGGAAAACCGGATAACTACCAGTTCAGTATGGATTCAATGCTGGGTGACCGACTGATGCACCCCACTCTCTTCGTGGACACGTTAAACCGACCCAAACTCGTGACCGGTAAAATCGGAAAAGCCATTAAACTGAACGGTGAACAGCAGGTAGTAGATTTCGGTGAAAAAAAATCACAATGTTTTGGGAATTTGGATTTTTGTCACCACGGAATTTATACCTCTCTTTGGTTTAGACCGACTACTTTCAGAAATAATATGTATTTTTTCACTAGCGGCCATAATGGTATCACTTTGAGCAACAGACGGGAAAATCTCAAGGTCACTGCCGGAACCTCGACTAGACTTTGGGAAACTTCAACAGATGTTCTTATTCCGGGAAACTGGTATTTCCTGGAAATTTCTTGGGATCCTGAGACTGGTTTAGAAGTATTTGTTGACGAAGTTCCTGTTGCTAAGGACAGGGATCCGTCTAGACGAACGGACCCACTTCCGGACAGTTTAATCGAAAGCACTTTACAGAACAAGATCTATCTAGGTCGCGGAAATGTTTATATGGAGGACGGACAGTATGGGAAAGGCACGTTCGACGAATTGGCGTATTGGTACGGACCACGTGACTATCTAACGGCTTTTGGATATCTTCAGAGAGGTAATTGAATTAAATCATTAATTTTATTATGATATGTTTACTTGTTAATTGTAATTTGAATAAGCTGTAGATAAAACGATGAATTACGATATCAAAAATATTAATTGAAAAAAAAAACATCGGCGTAATATTTGGTTTTAGTTTGAGAAGATCTGGATTACATTAAGTGAACAAAGATATGGAAAGAGTAAACGAGGCTCATTTGTATTTTTGGTGTGTTAAAACCACAGTAGCAAAAAACACGTCGTTGCAATATCCTTTTTTGTCTTATCTATCACGTGATTATGTTGACAAATCAGATATCTCGTTACAACTATTTTCCTTCTCATTGCCAGGGAAGCCCACCAGCTACTTGATCGATTTCCAGGACATGCGCCGTGGGAAACTTTTACACTCTGAACTCTACCTTCCCACAGTCGGATCGCCAGTACAGGTCCCGGGGGTTGTCGGGAGAGCGCTGAAACTTAGCGGTCTTGGCCAATATCTGGACATTGGTCAACACCAGGACTCCTGTCTCGGAAACTTAGAGAAATGTCCTAACGGCATCACAATAGGAGCTTGGATGAACTTTCAGGCCTTCTTTGAAAATATGTTTATCATGTCGACCGGAAAGAATGGTCTGCGCATGTTTCACAAAGACAGGAAAATTTATGTCACAGTTGATCAAGATGGGAAACACTGGGAGGTTAGTTTCCCACGCGTCGAACCGGAAACGTGGAACCACATGGAGATGTCCTGGCATCCGGACCACGGACTATCCATGTATGTCAACAACACCCTTGTCGCTAAATCACGCTACACGAACGTGCCCATAGAGGTAGCAAACAACGTACCGAATTTTTATGTCGGGCGAGCTAATGATGGAGACTCGCTTGAAACAGTGAACGACGCTAGCATGATCATTGACGAAATGGAGATCTGGTTTGGCAGACGGGAAGAGTTACTGGCCTTTAATTACCTCTTACGTAGTAAGTAACATTGTTCATTTTTCTTTGATTTTTTCATACTGATTAGTAAGAAAGGCTAAAATGGTAAAAGAACTATAAGTTATCCAATTTTTTTTATCTCTCAACAGTCATGGTACTTTTATAAATGAAACGGATAAATCGGTCGACAAATATGAATTTTCTTTTCTTTGTCAATTTTATGGAAACCATAAGATCAAAAATCATATGCTTTACAAAGGCAATGGTCAGAATGCCTGATGGAAGTTCGATACATTTTGCGCGAGAACATTACGTAAGTTGAATTGTACAGTGTTTATTAAAGAAAGTAAATAATTATATATAATTGCTGTCGACGTCGATATAATGCCCCTCGTTTGGCATTGATTAAAAAACTCATATTTGGCCTTGCTCTTGGTTGGATCAGCCTCGATATAATTCTCCACGCTAAACGTGTCTATATGTGCTTAATCTGGTTTGACATCGATAAAATACATCATTGGCTACCGCCAACGTAGCATTCTCTCTTATCTCAATTACAGTTTTCTCGATATATTGAAAAAAAAACCGCTTAATGATACCAGCTGGACAAACAAGACGAAACACAACTACACGTAATAGTGCCAAGACAGTATAACGAGGTTCAAATATTATAGAAATAGACTTTACAGTATCAAAAACTGTCCGAATTTCGTGCTAATATCCATCAGATAGGATGATGACTAGTCTCTTTGAAATCGAACAATCAATTTGACATGGGCACATGTTGGAGATATGAACACATGTTGGAGATATGTTACTGAACACATTTATCGCTGTGTAAGTAGAATTGTTATTGTTTGTTGATATGTTCATATTTCTCGATGTTGTTTACCATTGACATATCCCTAATGATGTTCTTTACATAACAAAATATCGGCATTATGTACTTTAAACACTTTTGCGCATGCGCTTCACGTTCGCTCTCTGTTGCTGAAAAGCTTGTACTTGTATATGTTGTTACTTACGTGTTTAAATTCGTTGTTCATTTTTTATTTTCGTTTGTCTGTTGTGATGTTATCATGTTGTGTGTAGAATCGGATGTTATTTTTTTTTAATATCGCGCATTGATATTTGCCGTCAGGTGGCGCTATAGTGGTAGTCGGGCTAGCTGATTGGTCAATATTGAGTTAAGTGAAATCTGCACATAGTTCAGTTGATGAGATGAGGTCCGCTAGTGATTCAGTGCAGCATGTAGATAGATGTTGTGGAATGGAGTTGGTTCTCATTAAAATATGTATGGATGATATATAAATCTATGAGTTTGTGGAAGGTTATGGTAGATAACAGTTCAGTTTGAAGAATGCGGTGCATGTCACAAATCTGAGAGAGGGTGGTGATATTGCCTTGCTTGGATTGCATTGTACATCAAGCTAGTGACGGGATTCTGTCATTACAGTGCGGTCATTCAAATTATAAACAAATGTGTGCTTTAAATTCTCACATGCGAAAATGTTTGAGATGTTCATCAAATTAATGATTAACAAGCAAACGTTTTGAATTATTTGAGATATCATACAATAAATTTGATTATTCAAAATTTTAAAATATTCGATTTATCTATCGAATGCAGATATCTGTCTAATTAAATATTATAAATCTATTTTGTTTGTAAAGTTTTGACCACTCTGTCCCTGTGTTCTTTTGTACTTAAAATATGGGCATCTGTTTCACAATCAACGAACAATCAGTAAATGTGATCACGTGACTTTGTTATCCACTAGGATTCGTCATTATACGGTTTTACCCGTCGCTTTTATATTGTTCATTGTCCAATGAAATGTATCGTTACTTTTCACTTCATTTCTCTGAGAAATTATTGAAACGTATTTGATACGATATCATATTTTTAACTCATCACATCAATTATACGACGTAGTGTAACTTATTATCTTTCGATATATCATTTTAAACATCAGAGAGTAAATTTGTGGAACAGTTGCCTTAATTGAATAGAGACTAGACCTGTCCTTTATATTCATACATAGTATAGATATTTGGTTGAAATCTTTAGCATCAATCTATGTAGCGGTCTGTGTCTTTGTCGGTGATTCGCATCTAGCATGTTATTTCTTCTATTTTGACAAGATATCTCGTCCTTTCAGAAGCCCATAGGAGGAAGTCTTTGTGTAACAATGTTGTTCTAGGGAGTAAGTTAAAAAGCTCTTGTTAAGAAGTTGAGCAGTGAAATCCATCATGGCGGAAACATCACTTCCGGTGTTGTAGGTACCCGTAGCGTTGTTCTTTGTTGTGTCACTAATCACCTTGCTGTCGATTGAATATTCTGCATGTATTTTATCCACCATCACTCTGTATTCATCAATAAGGTTTCCATCCATTTTTCAGTTTTCCCATCATTTTCTGTTGATTAACAAAACTAGTACCGACGAAAAATGTAGTTGCTACCAAGTCCATTTCTTTTGTTTTTTAGAACGTGGTGAAAGTTTTTCTTTTTAAATTCAATTTTTGAAGTAAAATTACAAAATTTTAATCAGCAAAAAATGTCTGTTTTTCGTTTTCTTTTGGCTTAGCGATTGGTCTCCAATTACATAGTTGTGACTTTTACTTTCTTTGTTTTTTGGTATGAAACTAATGACAATTTGGCCAATTTAGTTATTATTTTCTAGTATGAATGTTCCTCAATAACCTTAAATAACCTTAAATGCTTCCTCCTCCTGCTGCTACTTTCTCTTTGTATACGTGGAATCAGGTATACCTTATTTGTGTGTCATGTTCGAAGCAGCTTTCAGACTAACAAATTTCAGTGTTTTGATTGCAAGATCCATTGACATTGACATTAAGGAGTTTCCATGAACTATATTTAAGTTGTATAATTTAATTTTCATTAAATATAAACGGCATTAAATTTTCAGAGTTTAAAAATGGTCCAAATTTGCATGTTGTCATCCGCTCATTCCTTCATTAGACTACTAAAATGTGTGTGCGTGCGTGTGTAAGGGTGTGTGTGTAATGGTGTGTGTGTGTGTGTGTGTGTGGTGTATGTGTGTGTTCTGTTATGTATATATACATGTATTTACGTACTTACTCCTCTGTTTGCCTCACACCTCCATCGAATCTTACCAAACTAACATATTGATTTTGACGTCATAATGTAATGACGTCATTGTTATCATTTGGTGATTGGTATTTTATGAACTATACTCCTGTCATTGTTTATGTTCCATTTCTTCAGATTTTCAACCGTTTGTTGATATTCACGATCTTTTATAGTGTTAAATGAATATCCAACAGAATTAATTCCTTCAATTATACATTAAGACAGAAGGCAAAAGTATTCAAACTGAATATCGATTGTTTAGATACTGAATGAGAAGAATTACTTTCTAAATCATTGCATATTTGTTTGAATTCCAAAAGAAGAAAAGACTAATCAGACCGAATAACGATTAAGTTTATTCAACGATTGTTCTACATATGGAAAAATGAAGAAAAAAAAATTGTTGAGTTTTTGAAAAACCTGAACTCATCGTCTTATTTACGTGTCAAGCCACGGCGGCAATGTCTTAACATTTGTTTTTTCCCCAATTAAGAGCTATCATTGATCATTCCACCTTTTAATAATTGCAGGAAGTTACCGAACGCTTTTCATGAACGCGTTCTTTTTCATCAGAACAAGAACATTTCTATCGTCTGGGCATCCTCATACTTAGAGCACTATTTCGATATGTCATGTTTTTGTTTGTTAGATATAAACAGTATAGTCGTTGCTGCCATTTTTAGAAATTACCCGCCCCTTAAAGAGGAGTGGACAAGAGTGGGGAATGGGGGTGTGTATGTGGGGATTGAATCGGAAGTTGTTCGGTTATGGCGCAAATAATTGGTGATAGGCGATAAAGGAACAGGCAGTAGTTCGGAAATTCGTGGTTTGGTAGTTTTGCAACTTAAGCTAAAATTTGATACTTCGGTGTTATATGTGAGTTTAACGAAAGTGCTCCGTGTAAACCAGATTTTTGTGGATGATCGAGCAGAAAGGGAAAACGATAGGTAATTTATCGTAAGATTGTTTGGTTTTTACTTAATGGGCGAGGCATATGTTTAGGTGGTTTAGGTATGAAAGCCTATAAGGAATATAGAAACAAGTCGACGTGTTTAGATAAGGATGAAAAGGTACAATGACTAATGACAGGGGCAAGATAACTGTGGGGCTAAATGTCAGGGAAAAAGAAACTTTGTAGAAACGGGTTAAAAATGTGATTCAATCCGGATGACCTCTTGTCGGCTCCTCATTTAGTATTAGTTTTGTTGTCTCTTCATTAACATGCATGTGGATGTTTATGATTGGTGGGTTTTCACATTTCTCACAGACAACATTCCTCACGAGACTTTCTCCATGGAAGACGAACGAAATGGTATAGTTCGTCACCCCCGCTATACTGTTACTTTAGCAAATGGCGCCAAGATAGTACCGGGGAAAATCGGCAACGCTGTCTCATTGGCTGGAACAGGACAGTATGTTGATCTAGGTGTCCCAGACGACAAGTGCCTGGCTGATATCAACCAATGTAAGAATGGGCTGACGATGTCACTTTGGATAAAATCGCGGGAACTTGTTGACGGAGCATACTTCGTTTCTGCACCCTCATACTCGCTTTTCTACCGGGACGGTAACCTTGTCGCTAGGTTCCATTCAGACGGTAAGACATGGGAAGTATCTAGTCCAAACTTCAGAGCCGATAGATGGCATAATGTTGAAGTTTCATGGACACCAGATAAAGGTCTTGCTCTTTATCTCGACGGTACGAAAGAGGACGCTACTGTCACCTGGACCCAATCTCAGGCCGAAGCGCCCTCTGGTAGAAATGTTTATGTGGGAAGGGAACAGAGAGACGAACCAGCGAGGACAAAAGCCCTTGTGGATGAGATTCAGTACTGGTATGGTCCAAGGGATGAAGTGGTGAGAGCCGGACAGATAGGAGGTAGGGGATTAACACGTGACTGGTCAAGATGGTCAGTATGAGGCACTCTCACTAATAGTAGTTCTGGTCGAAATGCAGATAGAACTGTATCACCAATGGGATATAATCTTACGAATTTTAACAATAACTAATCTTTAAAGTAAAGAAATATTTTCATAATACTAAGAATTGATCACAACTTATTGTCTTTCATGTACTTTCGGGGCCCGCTAACTTTCGTTTGGTGAAATATTTTGTAACTGGGCAGATGTTCAAATTAAAGACGAGAGCAGTACGATTGTGTGATAGTTTCACATTTTCAAATTATCACACAACTATATTTGATTAATCATAAATCTTTTGAAACCTTACCCTGATGGAAGAATCTCTTCTAACACTGATATAAAGTAGTATTTGAAGAAAATATTAAGCATTTGGCTTAAAGCTTTTAATAGGCACTGGTAAAAAGAAACCATATTGGTCGATGGTGCTTAAGTATTTGGTTCGGTGGTTCTTAACCCTTTTCGGTTATAAGCAAGCTTTGGTCAATTAATGACACCAGAGACGTTTCTGTTTTTCTACTAAAAGTGAAACATTTATACAAAATACGATGATAATATCCGAAACGATAAAAATATTTTCTCCAGTTTTAAAAGTCTGAAGCGAAATCTATGAATACCATGTTGTTGTGACTTTCTTATCAACCCATAAAAAGTTAACGGGAATTGGAAGCACTTTTTCATATGATATACCAGCTATAACGTAACTGTAGTATAATATATAATAAAAGAAATGAGTTGTTTTGGCGAGGAATTGTTTATATCTAATGTAGGTGTTTGCAAATCAGCAAGATCTGAATTACAGGTAACCATTAAGGTAAAAAAAAGGAAATGAAAAATATATTTGCCTAAGTTTCCAACAAGTTTCCAACTAAGTTACCGAAGAAGGAACAGATATATAAAAATAGGAATGTTTTAACAAAAAGATAATTTTTCTCGCCATTTCAACACATTTTATTATTGCTGGACTTTTTACTTATTCGGGATAGTAACCATAACAACATTTCAAAAGCACGAGGTCGTACACAGAATGTCGCATGCTATTGATTAGTACAGGTGTACTATATATATATTATATACTGCAGGTTCACCACTATACTAAACGTATAGGGTTATCAGTACAAAGGGGGATAATCGATATCGACACATTAATTTTCAATCCGAGAATAAATGATGTGATCGGTTATGTTATTTTTATATCGTTCATATTTTGTGCAAATTAAATTTTTCGAACAAATTTATTTCATTTACCTCCATAAATGGTACTTCGGGATTTCATTAATGGTAGATTTGTTTAATCCTAAATACCATTTACCTGTTCCACACAAGATCAAGAACGATAGTCTTGAAATGCCGGTTATTATCGCCTGGGGATGGGTCTTTATCTATGTAACCAACTTAATACTTAATAAAAGTTGTCTATTTTTCATGGTTAGAAAGCTAAATAAAAATGATATATTTCAATAAAATCGCTTTATCCGGGAAATTGTTCATATTTACTGAAATAGGATTGTCCCGATATTTGTTTTTGTCCAAACATATTCAGTGTCCGTATATGTCTGTCTGTTTTTTGTTGTTTGTTTTTTATTTACGTGCGGTTTACAAAGTAGTAATAACATATTTTTTCTAATTTTCAATTTCGTATACTTATTGTAGACATCACAAAAAATTGAATGACATCCTCAAAAATCGTAATTTCAATCGAGGTGAACATATTTACATGAATCAGATGTTATTTCCTTGCAGAGTTTTTAAGACATGAAGTAATCCCGTTCGATAAAGTTATCAGGATACAAAACGGAACATCGAACATCGTTCTCCCCACCAGGACAATACGTCTACACGAAGGCCCGGTCCAAGTTCAAGGACAACATGGTAGTGCCATCAGGGTCAACGGCAAAAGTCAATATCTGGACCTCGGGGAGGATCTGATTTGTAATGGTAACCTCGAAAACTGCCCGGAAGGCATTACCATGGTGATGTCAGTGAAACCAGAGGCCTTACTTAATAATATGTATTTTTTCGACAGTTTCCCGGTCTCGCTTTACTATCGAGACGAGAAATTGTACGCGACTGCTAGAACACCGACAAAATCCTGGACTGTCTCGACGCCGGGATTTGACGTTAATGAATGGCACTTAGTGGAATTGTCATGGCACGATCAAGAAGGTAAGGTCAAGAGAGTGCCATGAATGGCACATTGCTTATAATGTGTGTTAGCTGCATTTCTGGTCCTTATATTTGACTTCGTAAATGTGAAGAAAAGCTTCAGGAATTTTAGAAGGTGTTAAATTCGCAAACTGAAAACGTGTTGATTCGAATGTCTCATGGATTAAGGGCAATCTTCCGCACTTCATCTTTTTTAAGACGATGCCTATGACGGTGTAGTAGATTGTTGTGCGATTATACTTGTTTTTAATGCGTGACCTCTTTCAGGACTGACTATGTATCTGGACGGCCGGAAAGGCGGATATCAGTCTTTCGGTACCCCTCAAGATGAAGTGCGGGAGTGGAGTAGCAAATCGTATGTCGGTAGGTCGTTGTCAGACATGAGAAGGGAACGCTTTGCGGACGCCACATTCGAACGCATGGACACGTGGAACGCCAGAAAAGGATATCTGCAGTCCTTCAATTTGATGCCAATAACAGATGGACTCCCAACCGAACGCACCGAGACCGGACCAGGTGTGCCACCAATCAATGTGACCCCTTTTAACCCCGGTCTTTCCGGTGGTAGAATAGGAACGTCCAGAATCAACATAAACACGGGAGACGGTTTCCCGGTCAATCGCCAACCTGACACGACCAGCGAAGAAATTGTGATTGTCCTAGATGGTGATATGAGTCGTGAAAGTGGAAGAAGTCAGCCGCCAGTTAGAACCGGAAGTGATAGAAATCCACCTCAGGTACCTCGAATCTGGTATATCACTAACCTTACAGGAATTCTCAACGAAAATCGTCGTCCTACCCCGACGCCTCGACCCCGACCCCCACCACAGCCACAAACGCCGCGACCCCGACTCCAACCGCAGCCACAAACGCCAGGTAAGATATTTTTTGGTACTTGAAAAAAACTATACTTTATCAAAAAATGATATGAACATGATTTAAAAAAGAAACTTGAATAATCCGATCTGATGAGGTCCTGTAACTTTACTTCATCAGATGAAACAAAGAACAGAGGATTAAATGACTGAAGAAATCTGATTTTAGTAAGGTCAAGAGATTAACATCGGAATTAACAAGGCTATGTCTAAGACAATCTAATTCTAATATCCATGCATATACTTTGGTATGACAACGGTCACATTATGTTACAAACAACAATCAACAGTAAATTTGAAGATAATTTTTTTCAAAAATAAAATGCTAAACTAGTTCAAATCTCAGTTGAATGACTGCTGACTTCGCATCACACAAGATTTCCCATCAAAGGGACGTAACTCTAGTGAACTTGTCATGTTCCTACCGTGTACCATTGTTTATACGTAGTTTTCATGTTGCAATATTTTACTGATAAAGATGTATTTTCAGCCATAGCAAGATTTTCCCTAAATGACTGGAATGATCACAAACTCATTATAATACCAAGTAGTATGATGAATGATGCGTGTAAAACGTCAAAGCATCCAAAGGGAATACCTATCTAAATGATAGCTATGACAAACTTCTAAATTTTGCTTTCGAATTTTCCTTTTCTGGATAGTACCATAACTACATGATCAAGATATTGTGGCTAGTAAGCCCCTTGAAAGGGACTATAGCGTTTGTTTCTGTCTATCTGTCCGTATGTCTGTCAGTCTGTTCGGATGTTGGTTTCCAGACGATAACTTGAGAAGAGATGGATGGACTTCATTGAAACTTCACTTACTGCTAGTTCATGAGGTAATACTTGGTGGAGTGGAGTTTGATGTCGAAAGGTCAACTACGATTGTCAGTGTTTCTAAAAATAGATATTTTCCGTCAAATTTTGGTCTCAAGATGATAACTTCAGAAAGGGTAGATGGATTTGGTTGAAACTTTATACAAGTATTGTAGAATGGGATTGAGTTTGGGGTCAAAAGGTCAACTACGAAGGTCACTGTTGCTATAAATAGACTGCTGTCGTCATATTTTGGCTTCAGGTGATAACTTGTGATAGGGTTGGACGATTGTATTGAAATTTAACGCAATCAAATATTACTAGAAAACACATAGATTTGGATCGCGTTATGGGTCAAAAGGTCAAATGTGAAGGCTGTTGAGGTCACTTACCACAATATACATTTATCACCATTTTTAAGGCCCAACATCAAAGCAAATTTGTCAGAATAACACCAGTAGTCAACTGACCAATGTTCAAGGTAACAGTGTCAAGAGATCAATGTTAAATTTTACATTTGTAAATGTGTATTCTGACAATGTAATTATAATCTACCATGGAATGTCAGACACAATGTCGGATCCTTGCAGACATGTCAGTGTGTTTTTTTCCAGATAGTCACTTAATTGGATTAGGGATGACAAACTTTCATACAATATTAAGCACTAGGGAATGCATATAAAGTTTTTTCCGCGTTATTTTTCTGGATTTTGCGTCCTTCCTGTCAAAATACTAGTGTATGGAGGGAAGACTTTCAGTTGTTAAAATGAAACATCTGTTCATTGCTAATAACTTCTATGTTGCTTAGAGAATTTGATTAACGGCAGGCCTACTACTAGTGGTACATAATACAATGAGTCATTGGATAGACACTAGCAGCTGACGAAAACTGTACAACAAAGGCATAGAATAAAATTCTATTTTCTTATGCGATGTGAACCATACTTATCACGTGGTCGTTAGTACGCCTACTAGTTTCAATTCTGAATATCAAGTTCAGAAATTGACACTTACTTGTTTAACCTTGAGTTGAATATTCCTATGGTACATCTTGTCTTGAAATTCGCAACAGCACAAATATCGCAGAAGTTATTTGGGATAGTCAACAGAATCGATTCTTTGATGACATCGAATATATTTCGTTGTTATACATGCCCTTTCTGCATTGATCAATATCATATTACTGGTGTCATTTCTGGTAAATCTTAGGACACAACAATAATTACATGTTAAGCTTTTTTCTAAAATGCTCTTTTCGACACCATAATCATGAAGGCTTAATTTGTATTTGACAAATAAAGAACTGAAAAAAAAAAGAAAAACCAACGTTTACTAGGCAATACAGGAGAGCACAATAAATACAACATATTTTACGTAGAATTGATATGAAATAAAATGCGAAGGAAATTAGGTCTTATAGACAGTCAGGTTTTAGTCATATTATTATAGTGAGCAACTGAATTTTGAGTTAAATTATATTGTAAATTCTAATTGAAGGTTGGCATGGAAATTGTTTGGAAAATGTGAAACTGTCATTGGTTACACAGTTAGCATTTAGGTATGAGTCGTTGACGGTGTACAGACAGAAAGTATATTTCATTTTTAGGCAAAAGTAACGAAAACCTTTTCGCTGATAGGATTGAAAAATGAATTGAAGATTCGAGAAAAACAACATTTATGATATAACCTTTTTTATATGATTATACTGCTCAACTCGCAAATGTAGAATCCGGTAATTGAAAATAAATTCGGTTGTCACTACTATTTACCCAGGTTTTTGATGTTATGGGTTTATGACGTCATTGTTTATTCATTGTGACGTCACGGTGAATGCAGTATCGTACCAAAATTTATGTGATGACGTCATTTTATGGCTTAGCAGCCGGTGTATATAATATAAAATTGTATTACTAAAAATAATACAAAATATATATTGTACAGTGAGCCTATTTATCTCGAACCCGACTGGACCATGGGAAAACCGAGTGTTCTATTTAAATGAATTGGAATGATTCGAATTAAACGGGGTCTTCGAGTCATACAAAATAGAGATAACGAGGTTCGACTGTAATTGATATCATATATCAAACAGGTTTGTTTAATGTGGCTCAGGTCTTACATTTTATTAAAATAATTAAAAGACAAAAAATTGCATTTGTCGGTACTAAAATGTTAAAGAAGAAATAGTTCCCTTATGTGAGCCCTTACAGGTGCGATAATTCATTCGTCGCTGCCAAACCTTGTTTATATGCATTTGGAATGCTTGCTGGGGTCAGAGGTCAAGCCTGTCCGTTAGGATATGAATGAGATGAGAACAGTAAGTGATGCATTGTACCTGTGTGGGGATTGTATGACGGCGTACTAGCTACTAAAACACATCAAAGATGACTGGAAAGAGGCGATCCATGGGGAAATTATTAGTCATTGGAAGATATTCAACATAAGTGTATCCAAGTCCGACGTTTTGCCGTTTCATAAAGGGATGGTGCTTATGTTTGTATGACAAATATTATACTTTTGGTGTATCTTTTGGAAGTGGCTGTGTCATTTTGTATTTTTAAAGTAAATTTTCAATCAAAATTAGCGTCAGACGTCATTAACATGTTTATTTGTTAATAATTTGACATACACTTTATTATGGAAGAAAGCGGTCAAAAAAGACAGACAGAAACTAGCGCGGAATGCGTAAACCTGAATTATAATTCATGACATATTTAAAAAAACAAAAGCGATGTGAGATGTCTTTTATACTACACGTAGCCTACCATACCGTTCGTTTTTTTTTATTAGATATATATATATCTTACTTATATGCTATTGGTACACGTGATAATCAGACATTAAAACATATAATATGCGTGCATTGCTGACAGGTGAACACATTCTTTCTCTTTAACAACGGACAATGGAAACGACAGCGTTGAAATATCCTTACCAAACACGATCATATACTTGTAGCTCAAACTTTCTTCCTGGTAGGACTGCACGAATGGCCACGATAATCATCTCTTTCGGAACCCTGCTGGCAGTGACACGTGCATATGCCCGCTGTCCGTGCGGGAATGAATGTAAATATGCGTTAGATTTAGTTTTTTTTATGAAGTCAGCCTCTAATTATACATATGCTCAATGTTCTACTGATGTACTGTTTATCTTTTCCTGAACCATCACTTATCTCTTCGAGATTCTGATTTCTCCGGATCGAAAGGTCGCGGGCATATTGTTTTCGTTTTGTCTGTATGTATATCTGTTTGCATGTCTGTTGTCAACTTCAACCTTGCCAATAGCTATTGAACCGTAAGAGGTAGGGCTTTCATATTTCGTATGATTGTTCGTTGTGACCGTTTGTCCTACATTTGAACAATTTTACTATTGCATCATAAGAGGTGTGGCGTTCGTATTTGGTATGTGTAATTCCTTGTGACAAGACCTTTCTGGTAGTACCAAAAGTTTTGACCATGTGATTGTTAATTTTGTTACCATCGGGGGGCATAGTGTTTCATAAACATATCATGTTTTCAGTACACAGACCGCGGAGTATGACGAATATCATAAGGTGATCGTTGATTCATAAATATTTCTTACAACAACGGTATTATACTAGTAACATGATGTTAAATGTGTTTATATTTTTACATAATGTTTTGGCATCATACGAGGTATTATTCTTCGGTCTTGATGAGAAGGAGAAAGACAGTTATGAATCAACACAACCAAGTAACATCATGATAATCGCTAAATCCTCATTCTATTCACCGAAAACTTTGATGCGTAATGGCTAGATTTTTTGTTGCTGATATGTATGTTTAATTTTTTTTGCGAGTTATTGATAGTAAAGGTCATGTGTTAAGGGTACTTATGACTTGTCACGTGATTAACCAACACGACCCAGCAAATGTTCTGTGAGATAGGCAATGCACGTTTGTGTGATGGCCTACTACCATGTGTTTATTATCAACACCATCCCTAACATACCCGACTTCAATAATTTCTGACAAGGCTATCGAATCACATCATGTCCCTGAAAGGATCATGAGAACATTCGTCATCACAGTAAATGAGTTCTGGAGCATTGTTCTCTAAAGTCAATTGCTTGAGTAATACTAATAACCGACAACTGTAATAAGAGGGCGCTGCACTGTCAGGCCGGCATTTTTCACTGTGTGAAGCTATCTATGGGATG